GTCCACACTGCCGCGCCCCACGTGAGCCGCCTTGGCCTCCTTCTGTAGCTGGTGGGCCAGCCGCCCCACAGGGTCTTCTGTTGTCGTCGTTACGGTTACCTCCTCATCCTTCTTCAGGCTGGGGAATTTGTAAAGAGGGTGTGTATGCACAAGGGCATGTGTGAGTGGTTGACTTCTCATGTGCCAACCGGCTTGGCTTCGCCCGCTCATGCAACTTGCCCCTCCACTCGCTCGCACATGTCAGCAAGGAGAGCACTGAGCTTACCCCAGGCGGGTGATGGCGAAGAGCCAGAGGGGAGAGATGAGGACGTCGATCTTGGGGTCAATGAAGAGGTCCGTGGTCTTGTCCACGCCCACCCCCTTGCCCACCCCACGTGATCTTCCCCCTCCCTTGCACGTGCACAACGAGCAGCACGGCGGGGAGCCAACTCACCCGAGGCGTGTGATGGCGAAGAGCCAGAGGCGGGAGATGAGGACGTCGATCTTGGGGTCAATGAAGAGGTCCGTGGTCTTGTCCACGCCCACTCCCCGGCGGAACAGCAGGTACTGTGAGTGGGTGGATTGCACACAGAAAACGAAGGCATAGGACAGGACAATACAGAAACTTGAAGCATAGCCCATGGGAAGGTTGTTGTCAATGAAGAGGTCCGTGGTCCTATCCACACCCACCCCCCGGCGGAACAGCAGGTACTGTGGGTGGCACACAGAAAGCGAATCCATATAGGACAATACAGTACAGGGGTTAATGGAAGAATGACAACTGACAATAGCTTTGCTCAACGAAGAGTGGATTGAGTCCACCACAACTCCCTGACGGAACAGGCGTTACTGTGGCACAGAGGCGGCGCGAGAGGAACAAACGGCAGGACTATAATAGTCGAACAAGACTGGATGTCTAGAAAATAGACATCACTGACATTCCTGGCCCCCAAGCCACTCACGTGCTTGCCATTGTCAGGCAGCTCCTCGGGGTTGAGATCCGTGGCTCCACTGGCGTAGAATCAACACTGAACGTTCCAGAAACTCGTTCCAACACCCAGTGCCTGCTGGCCGCTCACTCACGCGCTTGCCATTGTCCCTCACGCCAACCCACTCACGTGCTTGCCATTGTCGGGCAGCTCCTCGGGGTTGAGATCCGTGGCTCCACTGGCGTAGAAACGTTCAAACAGCCCGCTGTCCAGCTGCAAAATGGGGGTTGATGGGTGTGACGAGGGAGGAAGAGTGGGGCGGGGCAGAAAGGGAGAAGTTCGGAGATTGAGATAAAGGCCATGCTTTGACTTGTGCAGGAACGGTACCTGAGTTTCATTGAATTGGACAGACCGCAAGAACCACGGCCACGAGTGGCTAATCAACCACCCCCCAGCGGCCTTCCCAATGAATCTTCGGGAGTTTGAGGCACTGGGTAGTACATGGAACATACCTTCTTCTTGTTGACAACGATGGGCAGGTTGATGAGGTAGCTGCAGCTGGTGGCGACGCGGTATTCCTCCATCGACATTGGCTTGTAGTTGCTCTTCTGCAGCAGCGCCACCACCTCTTGCAGCACCTCGCCCTCCATGCGGTTCAGCTGCTCCTCGTTCAGCTTCTCATTCTTCACCCGCTGCTTGCCGCCCACCGGGTCGAAGTACGAGTAGCGCTCCTGGGAGGCGAAGGGACGAGGACAGGGGGGAGAGGAGGCGGGAAAGACGAGGGAAACGGGACAAGTAAAGGGATGTAAATTCTGTGCACTGATTCTGCTGATTCTGTTGACGCGTTTAGTAACGCTTGAGAAGTTAGAAGTATGGAGCCGTGCTCATTACGAGACCATCAAATCTGAGAATGAACCATGCGCGGATGATGTGTGCATTGAACGTCCGCGAGGACGTTACAAGCATTGAACCATTGTCACAATGAGAACGTCAAACCTCGGTTCCTACGTCGCACGAATGTTGCTCGTACCACGACTCTTTCTAACCGCCGAGCCGCGCTCACCATGAGACGGTCGAGGATGACGAGCATTTCGAGGCGCTACAAACCATCGAGCCGTGTTCACCACGTCGAATCTGAGGACCACGCGCGGGTGACGAGCATTTCGAGACGCTACAGCGGCCATGCGTGCTCACCATGAGACGGTCGAATCTGAGGTTGTACCACGCGCGGATGACCGCCGCCACTCGATTGCAGAGCTTGTCGAACTCCGTTTTGTCCGACTCGTTCACTGCTCGCGGGGAGGAAAGGGTAGAGGCAGTGGGGTTCCGGAGTTAGGGGGAAAAGGTAGAGACTGGACGCACCCCAAAATCTGCACCCTAAAATAGTTCTACTTGTGGGGAGGAAACTGGAGAAAGTTGGAGAGACTATCAAACTCAATAAAAGAAGGGAAAGTGATAAACAATTAAGTGAAAATGCAAATGCTGGGAGGGTGGAGGGAACGCGGGGTCGCAAGCGGAAGCACGAGGCGAGCGACGACTGGAACTGACGAGGGATGGGGCAACCGGCGAACATTGCGAAAAGGCGTAGGGAACCGACGCACATTACGAAAATGCGTTAGTCTGGGATGCAGCGCGAAGAATCTGACAGAAGGAAAGCGAAGGGGAGCATGAAGGACAAAGTCAATCATCATAAGGGCGACGATATTGCGACTGTACGCACCGATGAGGCTTGACAGAAGATTGATGATCCTGTCGCGATGGGTTACGATGACCATCTCCTTCTCCATCGCCAACACCTCGTTGCGCGAAATCGGTTGCTGCAGGAGAGAAACGAAGCACAGAAAGAAAAATGGAAAATGCCGTAACGAATCACACCGTTCCCATCCCGCGTAGGAGATATTATTGCAGATGTCATCGTCGAAACTGTAGGAACTACTGCCACCATTGGTTGCGTTGACATTTCTCCCGTCGCAATGTCGCGCATGCCAGCAAAGGCTTCATGGTGTTAGTCCGGACGACGTTCCGCTTGAACCACAATGTCTCTATACGAGCAGGAAAAGCTGAACGAGATACGCGACAAGATGCTTGAAACTTATCGCAAACACAGTTAGAAACAAAATGCACGCAAATATGTATATATACATCAATTTACAGTGACAGCAGCTTGTTTCTATTATGATACTGACCATGTCGTCCAAGTTTGTGCGTGCGACGATGTCGGTGAAATCCTTGAAAGTGTCTGTCGCTAAGGCCTTAGCGTCGTTGAGTTTGTCCTCTGCAAGCTCCCGTAGATTATTCTCCTGCTGATCGGTCTTAACAGCTCGAACCGGAAGTCCCGCTTTACGGCGAGCGACGCGCGGAGAACGGACAGTTGAACGAACAGGAGCGGCGAGCCGAAGTTCTTTCCTGAAAAAACCAGCGGAAGAAACGCGGCACGGCTGGGTGCTCCTAGAAGCACGTGCTGTCGTTAGAGACGGCGCACGCGAGGCCAGACCCAGAGCTGTGGCTGACATGATGCTCTGACAATCAGCAGCCGTTGGTGTGCTGTGCTTCCTGCTGGTGGGTTGGGTAGCCTTGGGATTTGTTTTCCTGGACTGGACTAGAGCAAACAAGCGATTCAAGCAGCAGTAGAGGCAGAATGGAACCAACCAAAGGACAATCCCAAGATGACTGATGGTGACACTGTTATCCGAAAACGGGTGAGCGGGATTGGAATTTGGGATCACGTGTAGAGTGACGACTCATGGGACAAGTCTGACACCACAGATCGGCCCGGAAAAAAAGGAAATCTCTAGGCTTCTTGACTGGCTGTGCCGTACCAAAACCAGCCTAATCACACTGAAACGAAGTAACCACCAGATTCGCCAGGACCCACGAGCACCCCCCCCTTCCACCCCAACAATTCCGCCTTTTACCACTTCAGTGTGTTGCGGAACAAGGATGGGGGGATTCGAGCCTCTGCAGAAAAAGATCGCGAGGAGGGAAGCACAGATGCGCGGGCAGGCCTCCGCCATGGATTTGCTTGGATCTGTCGCTTGTGTGTTTCTTGACCGATAAAGGTCTCACGAAGAGTGATTGGTGCTCTTATGTTCTTCACGTGTTGGGATCGTTAAGGTTCTTAGCCAATCATTTTTTGCCACGAACTACGAGTAGCAAGCATGATTGGGCAATGTACCTTGCCAGAATACACATGCTAGGACGATCTTTTTTTGCGGTCAAGTTCGTTATAAAAATCGTGCATTGGGGCACATGTAGGAAGGGTTTGTGATTCAATTTTGAATGATTCCCCGAAACTTGTTTCTCTCGTTTCTAATGCTGTGCTTGGTGTTATATATGACAGACAAGTGTGGTTTCTATAATCAGTATTCGTTTGACCTCGGACCAGGGCTGATTTTATCAGGGTAATTACCCTGATTTCAGGGTGATTACAGGCTTCTCAACTGCTGGGCCCTGCAATTTCAGTTTTTTTTACTTGTGAACTCTGATCCAATCAGACAAGTTACTTAACGAACCCTGAAGTCTTATAACTAGACTCAGAGTAGTGTACTTGCGGACTATGTCTATGAAGAGTATGCGTTCGGTGGACCCTGAATGCGAGGGTATCGGGACGAAGGTTCCTCGAAGTTTCCTTTCGATAACCCCCCCCCCCTGTGCGTAATCATTACTTCGCGTGGCCCCATGTGAGGTACCCCGTTCACGCGCTGGACTGGCGTAATAACGACACTGAATTCCAACACCGTGCTGTAAAGACAGCTGTCAACAGTGACAACGCACCCAAATCTATGATACGTTGCTGCCACGCGCACCTCGCAGTGCACAGCATGCCTCTGCCATTCACCAGAACGGCATGTTGACAGTATGCGTTGGCAGCTAAGCAGTCCTTTAATGAATTCGGCCGTGCATCTACGGCCGAATTCATTGACGAATGTTGCCATCAATCTTGTGGCATCGCGCCGCGGTGGTTTCGTGATGACCCCGCCATCTCCAATCTTCCTTTCCTTCCCCCTACCCAGAGCCAGGCTTCCTTCGCTTCCTGCTTTTCGTTCAGTATCACACTTTCCTCTCGCTCCATCTTTCCCCTAGCTCGCCGCCATGGAGGCCCTGCCGGCCGACGAAGATGCTCCTCAGGCTGGCCCTGACGAGCCACCTTTACCGGCGAAACCGACAACGCAAGCCTTGCCGGAGAAAGCATCAGATGATCCCCGGTCTGGGCTCGATTTTCTTAGAGCTACCGGTGCTCCGGTGACACCAGAACCTCCTAGGTCTACGGTTCATGACTCTGCTGCTAGAGTAACCCCTACTCCTTCTGATTCTCCACATCCTGTCGCCTTCACTCTACCCCCGGATGTTGCTTCTTGCAGCAAAGATCCCCCACCGCCATCGCCTAGCCCCACTCCAAGCACGGTGCGTGTGTCTGTTGGCCCGCCGTCGGCTTCTTCCACTCCCAAGCGAGCGCGAAATGGGAAGTGGGCGCAGAGTACTCTGGTCGTTGGAGGCCGCCGTATTCCACCGCCTGACAATGACAAAGAAGCTGAGCAACCGGAGGAAGTTGACATCCCTGTGCGCGCGGATACCGGCTCGCCCGCACTCACCAAGATGCAGCTGCGAGAGCAGGTGTACCTTGAGGCGAGTATTAACTACGAGACGAAGTGGTCGCAACACTTTTCCTGGCTGGTGTTTGGGAAGACCAAGGACGGTTTTCCATACGTGAAGTGCTCCATCTGCATGTCGTACGCGAAGGGGAACACGAGGTACGCCATGCAAGGTGACGACGGTGGCCGTGACTTGCAGACGCAGTCGTTCAGGGCGCACGAGCATACGGACGCACACAAGGCGGCGGTGAATCGGTAGTTGAAGCTTGCGGCGGGCATCCGCGAGGGCCAGCAGGCGATTTTTGACTTCATCAACTCCGACGTCGAGGGGCGGCGCGCGATTCGTCTCATGCGGTCTACGCAGTTCCTGTGCCAGTGCGACGCGCCGATTAGCATGTTTCCGAAGCTGATGCGGCATCTTGCGGAGCAGGACACGCCAGACATTCCTCGACAATCTTACGGCGTGTATCTCACACGGTATTTAATCTTACCGTTAGATTGCAGCTGGATAGGTGACGTGTGGTTTTTTTATTACGATCCTGACCATTTTATTCTCCTCTGTGCAGATACGGGTTCCAACAAATGGTTCACAGCATCAGTACATACCTCACTCGGGTCCAGATGGACCACATCCTCGCATCCCCCTTCCTGGGCATTCAGTGCGACGAGAGCACAGACCGAACACGAGGGAAACACATGATTGTGTACCTTACGTTTTTTAAGAATCGCCAAATCGCATGCGAGTTCTTTACATTGCTGACGGTTGAGCGGTGTGATGCAGGGTCTCTGTTCGAGGTGCTTCTGAACCATCTCCGCTCCGCAGCCGTCGATGTGTCCAAGATCGTCGGCATCAGCACGGATGGTGCGTCGGTCATGACCGGGAAAGAAAACGGATTGGTGGCGCGTCTTCGGGAACACGTTCCGCACCTGTTTTCATGCCACTGCATCGCCCACCGGTGTGTATCAAGTTTTCTAGTTGGTGTGGTTTTCTACGTATAAGATTAACCAATTACCTCTTGATTTGTATTCCCTGCATCCTACAGTGAGGCGTTGGCCGTGAAGGACGCCGCTGAGTCAAACGAGGACCTTGGCATGGTCGACAAAGTGGTGCGCACAGTGGCGACGCTTCTCGGAAACTCAAGCGTGTGGAGTCAGCGCTTCAAGTACCTTCAGCGAGTGATCTACCAGACAAACCTCGAGGTCCAAGGAATCCACACGGTTCGATGGCTGTCACGAGGTGATGCGGTGCGCAGGCTGTGCAAGGTCCTCGGCGCTTGCATCGTGCTGCTCTGGGAGCACAACCACAAGGCCTACGAGATTGTGACGTGCTACAAGTTCCAGTTCTGTTTGTTTTTCCTGGCCAACATTCTGGCCGACATGAACGACCTCAACCGCTGCTTCCAGAGGCGTGAGGTGTGATTGAATGCTAGTATAATGTTGAGATGGGAAGTGTAATCCTACACTTTTGCTAATCCTACTCCCTGTTGTTGATTGCATGTGTGACAGCTGGATGTGACTGAGATTTCGAAGACTATTGAGTCCACCACGAGTGACCTGACGGAGCGCTACTTGACGACAAACAAACCGTTCGGGGACGAGGGCAAGAGCTGGCTGGTAAACTTCCTCAAGGTCCACAAGGAGGGTGGAGGCAAGCAGGTCCGGGTTCGAGGCGTGGACGGAGAGGGACGCCCAATCAACCACCTCTACACCATGCATGAGAGGGAGCTGAAGGGCCACAAGCAGGGAAGCACCTACGCAGACTGCGTGAAGCTGTGCCGCCAATTTGCCCGCGACTGCGTGGACAACCTGAACGAACGGCTGGATGACCTTGGGAAGCTGGGCCCGACGAAGCTGTTCCGGGCGGGGAAGTGGCCGAAGATCAAGGCCCAGCGAGAGAAGAAGTGCAAGGAGTGGCTGCACGGATGCAGCAGGCTCTTCCGCCACAAGCTGCCGGGATTCGACCTCAAAGCAGCAGAGAGGGAGCTCCCGACATTCTGCGCGATCATGGAGTCACACCATGAGATGGAGAGCTTCGCCCAGTGCCTTCACAACTTTCTTGGGAGCGTAGACTCAAAGAGGTAGGCCACTGCATGCGTACGAGTTTTTTACCTATTTGATTTTTATGTTGGTGATTATTAACATGTTGAATTCCAACTTGTTGATTTATTAACTTGTTGATACTTTTACATGTTTTGTTGTGTTTCGAATGTGCCTGGCAGGAGATGGCCCAACCTCATCCTGCTGTGGCAGGCGCTGGCTGTGCTTCCCCTCTCCACCGTGGAGTGCGAGAGGGGGTTCTCCAGGCAGAACATCATCAAGTCCTGGGTGCGTGGAGCGCTCTGCAACGCGCGTCTGGGGGAGCTGATGCAGATATCGCTCCTGAAGTACGAGATCGAATGGCCGGAGGCACTGGAGGTGTGGAGGTCCATGCGGAGGAGGCGCCCTGTGAAGAGCCTGAAGCTGGCCGTGGCAGAGAGGGAGAGGAAGGGGAAGCAGAAGGAGGGTGAAGCTGTGGCTGCTGGAACTGCGGGGGAGAACGAGGACGAGGGGGAGGAGGAGGAGGAGGACGATGAAGTGGAACAGGACTTGGGCGACGATCAGGAGGTCGTGGAAGAGGAGGACAACTCTTTCCTGTCAGACGATGAGGACGTAGAGGAGGTGTACTTCATTGACAAACCCGTGCACTAGATAGTGTAGTGTAGGAAAGTTGAAGTTGTATCAGTCATTTTGAAGTGTATGTTGAAATACATTTCTTATATAAACTGCTTGTAGCAGTAGTTAGTGTAGTGTTACATTGTTTGGTGGTGCACCTTGCTTGCTTTGCCTATATCCTTGTACCTCCTCTCTTTATTGGACCACCTTTCTCCTTTGGAAATCTCTCGACATCCCCCTTCAACCCTAAACCTAATCTCCTAAGCTACTCTAGCCATGGCTTCTAAGCCTAACTAGCTTTAGCTCTTTGACATGGTATCAGAGGACTTAAGCTCCTAAGACCTAATGGGCCCACCGATAGCTTCCGCCAATGCGCCTCTTTCCTGCCCGTCGCGCGCCCGTGGCGCGCGTCGGTTTTTGCCCGTCGCGTGCCCGTGGCGCGCGACGGTCTCCTGCCCGCCGCGCTCCCCGGGCGCGCGCGGCGGTTTCACGCTCCGTCGCGGAGCCCCCGGGGACCCGCGCGCTCCCCCCGTCGTCCGTTGCAGCGCCCCCATGAACCCACGCGCCGCCCCCCGTCGTTCGTCGCGGCGCCCCCGAGGACCAGCGCGCCGCCCCCCGTCGTCCGTCGTGTCGCCCCCGGACACTGTCGCGCGCGGATTTCTGCACACCGCGCGCCTCGGGAGCGCGCCAGAACCTGCAGCCGCGGTGCGGCTCCTACCCCGCCCCCCCGCCTCCTTCTCCCTGCTACGCGTGCAGCCGTGGGGGGGGGGGGAGGGGGGGGGGATATGGGGGTGGCGGGCAGCCGCGGAGCAGCTCCTACCCCGCCCCCTCGACTCCATCTTCCTGCTGCGCCTGCAGCCGTGGGGGGAGGAGGGGGTTGGCGGGTGTGACAAACCAGCGGCCGTCCCTCCTCCTCTCTCTCTTCCTACCGCCTCTCCTGGGGTGGGGGGCAGGAGGGGGGGGAGGGTGAGGGGGTGGCGGGGGTGACCAGCATGCGCCAGCCCACCTCCTCTCTCTTCCTGCCGCCCCTCCTGGGGTGGGGGGGAAGGGGGGTGAGGGTGAGGGGGTGGCGTTGGAGGAAGGGTGGGGGGAAAGGCATGAGGTTCAAGGGGGCGATTGACAAGGGGGGCGATTGACAAGGGGGGTGGCTGAAAGGGGGCGTGGAATTAGGGGGTTAGTAAGAGGGGCTTGCCGCGCTAGGCTCCCCCCACCTCCTCTCCTCCCTCTCTCACCCCCCCTTTGTAAACAGGGGGTTCGTAAGAGGGGCTCGCCGCGTGGCTCCCCCACCTCCTCTCCTCATCCCTCTCTCATCCCCCCCCTTCGTAAAACGGGGGTTAGTAAGAGGGGCTCGCCGCGTGGCTCCCCCACCTCCTCTCCTCATTCCTCTCCTCTCCCCTCTCTCTCTCTCGTCTCCTCCTCCTCGCATTCCTCTCTGCCGTCTTCCGCTGCGCTTGGTGTACTCCTTCAGGGGGTGTCTCTGCATTAGCTTCCTGCTGCAAGCAGTTTAGGGGGTGTGTTGAAATACATTTCTTATATAAACTGCTTGTAGCAGTAGTTAGTGTAGTGTTACATTGTTTGGTGGTGCACCTTGCTTGCTTTGCCTATATCCTTGTACCTCCTCTCTTTATTGGACCACCTTTCTCCTTTGGAACTCTCTCGACATCCCCCTTCAACCCTAAACCTAATCTCCTAAGCTACTCTAGCCATGGCTTCTAAGCCTAACTAGCTTTAGCTCTTTGACAGTGTAGTGCAATGTTAATAGCAACCCTGATTTTGAGCTGTGAACCCTGACGGATCAGACTAGCATTTTGTTCGACACTGAGCTATCAGGGTAGCTTCCCTGTGAAAAATGTGCGATCATAATAGAGGGGGAAAGTTTTTCCAGAAATCAGGGTGGCCTAAAACGAAACGTCAGCCCTGCCTCGGACCTCAAGCGAATTTTACTCCAGCATTATTTCATATTTTTTGGCGTTCTATGTTCGTTTTTGCCGTTTAAATGTATGTTGAGATCACAATAATCAGAAACGTATAGAATGTGTGGAATTCTCTAGCCATCTATCAAGCACACGATGGCGTCGACTGGAAGCCCTTGATGTGGTTCCTGGAAATAGGTTCAGATCCTGAAACTGATATATTTAAACAAGACATTGCAGTTGAAAATCCAGATGGGAGCCATGTCGGAGAGGTAAAGCTCTTTGAGGTCGGATTCCTATGTCAAAAAGTCGTTGTTGATGTTAAGTTGGTTTTGTTTTAGGTGAGTATAACTGAATACCGTATCTCCGCTCTGCTTCAATATTCATACATAGCTTGTGCAGCGTGGACATATCCACGTCACGCGCCAAACGCGGGACAGTGGTACCTTCCAGCTCATAGAAAGCTGCTTGCGTGGCACATTCTTCCCAGCAGGCAGCTTCAATTTCGCCAGCGCACTTCATCTTCCCGTACTTGTCACCTTATTTCGCGAAACTTTTGAAAGGCAGGTTACTTTCTAACTTTCATTGGCCATTCCCATCCTTGTCATCCGCCCTCTTCGCATTCCCTAGATTCTTTCTCAATGAAGGATATCTCCCCATCAGGCTCACCCTTGTGTTCCTGAATTTTACTACAGCACAAACACTTGCTGCACAAACAAAGGATATCTCCCCATCAGCCCCTTTTCCCAGGTCTCTTGAGCTATTTGTCTAAGATCTTGCAGTTGTGACCTAGACCAGCACGCTCCTCACGTGCTGTCTGCCTGCTTATTCAGTTCTCTCTCATTATTCTTATATTGTTTAGTAGAGCCAGATGGCGACCGCCTTGGCAGCGCAGACATCGCAGGCTGGTTTCCGGTTGTCCTCGAATAACGATGCGAGATCGCAAGTTCTCTCCGCCAGTCACGGAAAGCCTACCAGCGTGGCAGGATGGTGTAAAACCTGCGATCTCGCCGGATCACGGCTGGAAATGGCAACGGAAAACGCGACGGCACGTCGCACCCCGTCGGTTCAGCGACGCTCGATAGTGTCACAGGCTGCTTCTGGCACGACCACCACAACGCCTGACAAGGCCATTGCGAGGGCTCCTCCGGGGTGCGTTTTCCCCTAATATCTCTCGTGTGCGAATCCTGTGCTTAGATCCCCTTGGTGGACTTTGCCTGCAACATTATCCAACCACCTCTCTCCCTTCACGCTAGCTCTCCATTTCTCAGCACCCTTTGCCACGCCGTCTTCGTGGACCGTGGATCCATTTCTTGGCGCGGTGTCTATCCGGGATCCTTGGCAATCCATTTCTTGATGACTTTTGAGTCAACTCAAACGTCATCTCGGTCTTCGTGGAACGTGTATCCATTTCTTGGCGTTGGTTCTATAAGGGATCCTTGGCGATCCATTTCTTGGCTCTCATCTCATCTCCCCGCTTCCCCATTCATCTTTATCTCCATCTTCTCCCTATCCCTCGTTGTCCTCCGTCGCACGGTGTCGGGATATTCGACGGCATTTCACAGACGTGTTTTAATTCGTGGATTCTCTTATCTCAGCATCGTCCCTCCCTCCTCACCTGCTCCCTATCTTTCAGCGTACTCCGTCACACGGTTTCCGTGTTTGTCGGCGACGAGAGCGGCATGATCAACCGCATCGCGGGCGTGTTCGCGCGGCGCGGCTTCAACATCGAATCGCTCGCCGTCGGGCTGAACAAGAACAAGGCACTGTTCACCATTGTCGTTTCCGGATCGGAGCGCGTGCTGCAGCAGGTGAGGACTTGTGATGTGCGTTAGAAGTAGTCATACTGTTGTGTTCAGATCGGAGCGCGTGCTGCAGCAGGTGAGGACTTGTGATGTGCGTTAGAAGTAGTGATACTGTCGTGTTCAGATCGGAGCGTTTGCTGCAGCAGGTGATGACTTCGGCGCGTTTAAAGGAAGTTATAGTTGCTTTCGGATCGGAGCAACAGGCGCGTTTAAAGGAAGTCACAGTTGCTTTCGGATCAGATCAACAGGTGATGCGAGCAGCAGCCGCAGCAGCAACAGGTGATGCGAGCAGCAGTAGCAGCTCGAACGAAAGTACATTTGAGACGTGTCAAAGCTAATCAACGTGTACCAGGTGAAAAAAAACGAATTTCGAGACCTGTCAAAAGAAGTCCTCCGCCCGACTGTGCATATTTTCCAACAGGTGATGAAGCAGCTGTACAAGCTAATCAACGTGCGCCAGGTGGACGATCTGACGCACGAGAGCCGCGTGGACCGCGAGTTGATGCTCATCAAGCTCGCAGTGACGCCGCAGCAGCGCTCCGAGGTGCTCGAGCTCGTGCAGATCTTCCGCGCTCGGGTGGTGGATGTTGCTCCCAGCTCCATTACCGTTGAGGTGAGCGGCAGCACTGGGTGTGGTGTGTCTCTTTGAGTTGAGGTGCCTGCACAACACAGCAGCGCTCCGAGGTGCTGGAGCTCGTGCAGAGCTTCCGCA